CAGAAGCACAACGATTGCCATCATAACATGGTCTCTTTTTCCAAATACAGGAAATAAAAGGTTATACTCATAGTTTAAAAAGTGTGTTTTATATATGCTTCCAGATTTCTCATTTTCATTATTATTAAAGTCAAATGGAAATATCCTCATAAAATGTTCTAGGAGGTAACTGTAAACAGAGAATTTAAAAGTAAGCTTCTATTACAAAAGATAAAAGAGTGCAATTCTATTTCCTTTCAGCAATCACTTATTGAATGCCTATTTACAAAGCACTGTACCAAGGCTGTGAGGTGGCAGCAAGGTACAACTAGATGCCTGAATTCTAACAACTGCGGATTGAGGGAAGAAAAAGTATGACTATACTTTTCCAAAGGCAAACTAAAAGCAATATTTATCTCCTGAAGTAATAAATGCTCTCCACATTACTCTAGAAGCTGAATGAATCTTTCTAACCTGACCACCCTAGAAATATGTTAGGGACTTCATTTACCATTAAACACAATAAGGATTATAGCAGAACTGTGGCAAACCTGGAACTAATATAATATTCTCTGGGGCCTTTTTTTTCTTTATAACATATATTATGACGATTTAACATGTTAAACCTTCATGTTTGATTACAGAAAATATTCAATAAATTAAACATATCCATTGACAATCTGTGTGGTTTTAAAAGTTTAATTTGCTTATATAATTTAATATTTTTCTGAAAAGTTTATTTTAAAATTCTCTGAAAAAACTAATTCTTTCCAACTTACCCCCAAATTAATAAATTCACTTGAATGTAGATATTCAAAAATCTTGTTTGATATCAGAATTTGAAAGGTTTTTCTAGTTCTTGTATGCTCTTAATGATTTTTGGTGACTCAGAGCAATTTGTGTCTTTCCTTTTTTTTTTCACAATAAAACCATTTAATGCCCTCCTTCTTATGATTCCTGAAAGCTTCACCACAATATACATATTTTAGATAGCATCATTATAAGGTCTTTTTAATGTTTTTGTTATTAAATATGCTTCATACCAAATATAGCTATAATATAACATACAGTGGTCTACAGTGACTTGTATAATAACTCTTAAGTGTACCATATTTTCTCTATACCCTCATATTAGAAAACAGAAAATTATTTCCAATAGTATTACATTCAAGATGAAAATGAAGTTTTAAAAACAGTGCTGAAAATCCTAATTTGAATCAAATGGATCAAACTGGTACTTCTTTAACAAGATTAAATGGCAAATAAGCTTCTATATTTTAAATGAGTTATTCATTACATTGTATATCACATTTATATGAAAGGGACAATGATCAACTCTTTGTCCCTTTCATATAAATGTGATATAAATATCCTTTGGGACATAGGCCTGAAGGTCATCCTCTATGAACGAAATCTCTAGATATAACATTAACAGTATACTTTCTGTGCCTTGATTTTCTTATCTAAAATAGGAATACCATATTGATCTATCGACATTATTACTATTCTTAGAATCTAATGAGTTTAAATTATTAGAGACAGTTAAGCAACACAGGTCAAAAACTTGCCTGTTGTAATGAATATTCTAATACATGTAACTTTTTCAGATGTCAATTCTAATGTGCTTTCATCAATGAGAATTTATAATTGTTTAATTTAATATTCATATGAGAAGAGAATTCCTAAATCTTATATTTTTAATTATTAGCTTAATTTCCTAGTAAGAGGTTAATCCTATTTATATTTGAAATAGTAACAACCTCCAAATTGATTTTTTAAATGTTAATGATGATGATACAAATTAAAAGGAGCAGGAATATCTCAGAAATAATTTTAAATTATTATGTAATTAAAACTAAATTATATACGTATTTGGAATAGGAGGTTTTAATACTATTGCATTTTCACAGATTAAAATCAATTCATTTGAGATTTCAAACATTATATTTAATTCAACTGGTTCTTTTTCTCACTCACCCTTAGAAACATACCACAATAACACTAACTGTGGCTGATGCCGTAGCTGAGTCTTAACATTTACTTTTTTTATTTCAAAACATTCAACTACACTACAGATGTTTGAAGGTGTCTATTTGGCATGGCCACTAAAAAAAAAGTCAAAATATATTCATAGACAAAATCTACAAGAGTATATTTTATTGCATCTACTGCCTTTAAAAGTTATTCCATGTAATAATCAATATTGTTAAAATCACTCCCAATAAAATATTTGTTTTTTTCTTTTAATGATCCAAATCTATAGTGAAATGATGAAATCGAAAAACAAGTGTTCTTGTCAGAAGACAGGAAAAGAGGTTTTCCCCCCTCCCTTAACAAAAACAAAGGAATCCTGAAAGCTTTGCCCTGATTTATTTTTCCAATTTTAAATACCTTAAGAGTAGCGGAACTGCTACTGGCATGGTAGTATTTCTAACAGTCAATAAATCTAAAATATTATGTGTGAATATTGGAATGAAGCCATTAAGAAGATTACAGCATGCAACACAGCAGAGGGTCCACGGGAAAAAAGAACTAGTAATTCAGGACAACTGTGACCACTGACCTTTGAACAGCCAAGACCACTGGTCAATCTGACACAATAATAGAGTACACATGCATAGAAAGTCAGCTAGCCTGTAAGCATAATTTAAATGCTTTAGTGAATGATTTTAAAAGGCCCCCCCATCTAAATCTCAGTTAACCTATTAAATAATCAAACAATACTAATAGTAACATTTTTCAGGTTTCAAGTATATTTTATCAATTTAAATTACACAAAAAAATTTTAGTAAGATCATTTGTGATTTTAACACATCTCATTTAAAACATTTACAACTGTCCTGTCTAGTGGAGGCAGGGTAGCTTCTAAAAAATATGATGCTCCATCCTATTTTCTCCAAAATTGTAAGAGATAATTTTATAAAATTGATGAAATAGCTAAATTCATTAGAAATGGGTTCTAAAAATCGCCTAAAATAGTTTTAAAAATTATTATAACTCTAAACATCTCATACTTTCAGTAAATGGTCCGAGCTCCACCTCAGAGCTGTTTTTATTTGTCCATTCTTTAAATTCCTCTGTAAGTCCGTGTCCTTTAATTTCAAACATATATTTCATCAGTCTACACCACCTTTCAGTGTAACTTTTTGTCTGTATTTTTAAATATTTCATTTACATTTATATTGTTGTTTGTGAGTAAATAACAAGATGGTCCCTTCTGTCATTCGATATATTTATACCTTTACATGTGTGAATATTATTTAACTTCTCCATATATTTAAATAAATGTTTTAATCATCAAACTAATTCTACTAGGAAAGTAGTACTTTTCAATTTAAAAAAGAATCACCCATCAAAAAATAAAATTTCAGAGATTATTTTTCTCAATAATCATCTATGATTGAAGCTGCTGATAAAAATTTTAATATCATGCACAGAAAAGCTGAATTTCTTTCTCTTTTTGTTCTTCTTTCTCTTTTTAACAATCTTTCTCCTTAGAGCATTAACAGTAGGAAGTACATGCACATAAGGAAAGCATTCTTAAAAGCTGGGATTCTATTTTCATAATTATTTCTCTATTCAGTGAATAATACTTTGATATTTAAATGAAATTTGTGATTTTGTTTTTGCAAAAATTTTACAGTGAGGTAATCTAGTTACAATGAGCTGAAAAGATGTAATTGTTCACTGGCCTAGGTTTAGATTTGTACATTCATAGCATAAGTTTTACTACAGTAAGATAAAGAAGTTCAATTTTAATGTGCCTCAAGTTCAGCAAGTATTTTAGGTTATTATGGGCATAAATAATCTGATTTTGATTTTAAAATCATATTTTTCCTATCATTAGACAGAAGGACAATTGAGGCTGGTATTATTGTATTTTTGAGTTTAGGATTTTTATATTCACTTTCTCAAACTCCTTAATAATGGATTTCAAAGTAGTTCAACATTACAGAAAAATATACTCTGAAGGTATTTTTATTCCCAATTTTTAATATCCATATAAACGATAAACTTTTTTTAAAAAGGAAGTTATTTTAACTTAGAACTATGTTATAAAAATATTTTTAAGTAGCCATTAAAATAAATACAGAGACAATACTAGTTTGCATTTTGGCCCTGTACTAAGGAATATGAAGGCCAAAAATAATGCACTTTTGGAGACTATTTAACGTGACATACAGAGTATGTCCCATTATAAGCTGCAGACACACGCACACACACACAACCCTCCGCAAGATCAAAGACCAGGAGAGAACTGGCACTTAATTTATCAGCCTTTACAGACAAAAGACAGTTTTCATCATTTCAAAAGGATCAGATGTCTTTTATGACAAACTGGGTTTGCAGTTTAATTTACAAATAGAATTCTAAGTAAGCAGTCTTTGCTCTGCCAAAGCAAATGACAAACAGTGTAGGTTTTCATTCTTGTGGCCCTCAGCAGGATAGAAAAGATTAAAATAAAACTGAAATAATTTAGAGAAAACAAATAAATGTTTCAGAAAGTTGAGGAAGATCAAAGCCAGAATTTTCTGACCCCAACTGTACAAGCATTTCTTATTATATTGACCAGTAACATCAGATCATTAATTAAAAGGAAAAGCGCTGGCAGGTGGCAGGGAAGCAAAAGCCGATAATTGGCCCCCTTCTTCTTCTTGCCTTCAAAAACTCTCTCATTCTTTTGCAAGACATGCCACTAGGCAGACAGAAATGCCTACTTTGTAATATAATGATTAAGATGAGATGAAGAGACTTATGTTTAAAGAAACTCTGCCTAATGAATGCATCTAGCTTTTTAATTATGATCTTACTTTTACAATAAGGAATATGATATTCCATTCAAAATCTCAACTGCTAAAAGGTGAAAATATTAAACATAGGATCTACATTTATTCCTCTCACACCTCACGCAAATACCCAACCTTTTTATTTCAGATGTTAAAAGGGAAAAAAATAACTTAGTAATTCAGAGGTCCAGGAGAAAACGTTTATGTTCACCACCAAATATCCTACATACTTACCACATCACTTGGTAGGTTGTTCAAGTCACTAAATGGTGATTCTAATGTGTTTGTATCAACATTTAACATAACCACATCTTCCAATGATTTATTTTTCACTCTCTGTTAAAAAACACACACACACACAATTATGAGTAAAAATCTTAGTACATTTACTTTACAAAATTATGATGAGCTTAGAAACAGAAAATATTATCTTAATGCATTAGGCTTGGGAAAAAAAATCCTATATTATAAAAGGATACAAACAACTTTGCCTTCTGAGAAAGTATGACTACGACCCATTCAAATAGATTTAGTAAAAATGCTTAAAATTGAATACTTGTTAATCTTATATTAAACATAAATACAACGAAATTATTATAAAATAGGCATGATTATATCAAACTGCAAACAAACTATATTCTTTAAAATGTATCCGTTTAATTTCAGTCCCATGATACAGGAATTTGTGGCCAGCTTTATACCTATTCTTAGCATAAAGCGTATTACAGGGATAATATAAACCAATAACTATGACTACAGCATTAAACTATAATTTCAATTTTTATCTATATGACATATCAATAGGTATATGTTGATGAGGAGGCCTGAAAGCTTAATAAGAGAAAAAAAACAAGATAGTAATATGGAATTTATTGTTAGTAATATTTCTCACATGAATTTCAATAGAAGGTATCAAATTTAATAGCCTATCAGACTATCTTGACTTGTCAGATTTGTTTGAAAGTTTAATCAAAATAATCAAATTATCTCAACATGTCTACAAATAATAGTAAGTAAGAATTTTATCACATTTTTCATCTTTAAGAAAAAATACTTATGGTTCATTTTTCCTACTTAAACTAATAGGCATACCTAAAAAATTCATATAATTTTACTAGTCTTATTTAAATTGTAACAAATAGCATTATTACTTAGTGATAAGGGCTCATTAATGAAATACATTCATGAACTCTCAATTCCATGACTGTATAAGTCAACTAGCAATAGGTTAATAATTAATTTTAGTGTAGTATTTTTTAAGTGATGGTCTACGATAAGACATTTTTGAAAATTATCACTTCAAAACTGATTATTATCATATATTTCAAATTGGCCAAATGGATTATTTTAAGTTGGTCATAATTAAAATTTATCTGATCCATTTACAATTTCAAATCTCTGCACATTAGAATGTTAAAGGCAATGGTAGTCTAAGGTAGAGAATTTCCACGTTAAGAAAGGCACCATGTCTACAGTGAGGACACATGATTCTAAAAATCTGTCTTGTTTATTATTAAGTAAGACTTAAAAGATAGCCAATTCTAAGATATTAGCAGAGAACCACTTATAGTAATACTATTGATACTACTGTAGAAATATTTACAAATACACTCATTTCCTTTTCTTTCCACATGTATACATATATATAAAAAGCTTTACATATATAAATGTGTAGCTACCTATAAAATAAAACTACAATAACCTACTTTATAAGCAAAAACATATATTAATCACATTTGTATGAACAAAAGTGATCATTTTGATTTTCATCTTCAACTTTAAGTTGTCATTTTATGAAAGAAACTGTAAAGATAGTCCAATAAAGCTGATATATTTGTTAAGGGGTAAAATGAATTAGTCTATAAATAATTTAAGATAAAGCTATGTGCCCCAAAATGTTTTGTGAGGACATTATCACTAAACTCAGAACAAGGAAACTGGTACTACTATGGCACGTACACTTTTTCTAAAATTGCTCTTAGTTTTAAAAACCTGGTAATTGCTGAATATTACATTTTATTCAAGGGACCACTCAAAAAACAGAAAAATATTTTCATTTCAAATTAATAAACTGAGAGCCCCCAAAGTGAAAACAATTATATTAATACATTAGCAAAAAAGGGAAAAAATAGAGTTAACAATTTGTTTTAATTTGAATTAGTATCAATATTTTATCTATTTTTTTCTCTCCCAATCAGACTTCAGCTATTTTTTTCTAAATAGGCATGGAAGTCATATATATAAAATGGTACCTCTTTCTCTGTTTCACTGTTATACATCTCATAAAGTTATGAGATACAAAATTAAGAAAAGACAAAAAGAATGTCTTTTTTCTTCAAAAATAAGAAAATAATATTAGACACAGACTGAATGCTTAAGAACAACCATAAGATGGTGAAGTTAGTTGTTTCTCACATCCTCTGTATTTAACTGTATTTAACTATGGCAATACAGTGTGGCTACAAATGTACTTAGGCACACTAATACAAAGAAATGACATAGCGGCAGCAATCACATGATCTTCTAAAACTGGATCAACACTTTATTTAGAATCCATTGTATATTAAAACAAATAAGATAACCCTCACATTTGTAGGCTCCACTAATTTATTCCTAATGACCTGCAGGCCTTAGTCTGCTTTGAGTCCATCCCCAAAGTCTAGTTTTTAGGGAGAACAAAATATCTTTTGCCTTTATTTTAAAAGGAAATTTGTATTTTAAAAAGATTCTGGCCATCCTTTACCTATAATTCCATTAAAACAATTGAAAGAAAGATGTCAAGAGATATTAATTTCATGTGTTAGAACAACTATGTTGAGAAGTCATTATATAAGGTTGGTGCAAAATTAATTGTGGTTTTTGCCATTGGGGGAAAAAATAGCAAAAACTGCAATTAATTTTGCACCAATCTAATAAAATAATAAAATGTGTTACAACTGTCTTGACCATGAGAGTGGGATTAAGAAAATATTTTAATTATTCCTTAAGAAAAAACTTGTTGTAACTGCCAAGCAGACTGCAGAAATTTACTCAGTTCAGTCTTACATATTAAATATGTAAATAGCTGTATCAATATTTTAGTTATAAGATCATTTTGGTAAAACTAAAAGCAGAGAAAACAGAAATTTAGTGAAAAAATCTGCCTAATTGTGACAGAACAGGAATGAAATTTGCAGGATTTACATCATCTTGTAATAGATTAACAAGAAAGTTGCTGAATGGTATCCAATTGTTTTGAAAGAATTCCTGAAGTCCCCAGTATAGCTCCTTATTCACTGTTTTTTTTGTTTTGTTTTGTTTTTTTCCAGACAGAGTCTCGCTCTGTCACTCAGGCTGTAGTGCAGTGGTAAGATCTCAGCTGACTACAACCTCCGCCTCCTGGGTTCAAGCAATTCTCCTGCCTCAGCCTCCTAGATAGCTGATATTACAGGCATGTGCCACCATGCCCATCTAATTTTTACATTTTTAGTATAGACGAGATTTCACCATATTGGTCAGGCTGCTTTCAAACTCCTGACCTTGTGGTTCGCCCACCTGGGCCTCCCAAGTGCTGAGATTACAGGCATGAGCCACTACGCCCGGCCTCTCTCATTCACTATTAAACCTATTAAAATAAGGCTATTAAGACACTTAGATAAGTCCAGAGTATAAAAAATACAGAGATATCAACCAGTCTAATCATGGCTTCAAATATTCTCATTTAACAAAAGAAGCCAATTTAAAGTTAGAATGGATTATTCTCTAAGACAACACTTTTCAAGGGGCAAATAATTCTTAAATTTGCTACTTAAAAACAGTTGTTTTTTTCTATCGGTGTTCAAGAATACCTGTTAAATTTAATTGAATGTTTAAAATATAAACCCTTGGCCGGGCGCGGTGGCTCAAGCCTGTAATCCCAGCACTTTGAGAGGCCGAGGCGGGTGGATCACGAGGTCAAGAGATCGAGACCGTCCTGGTCAACACGGTGAAACCCCGTCTCTACTAAAAATACAAAAAACTAGCTGGGCATGGTGGTGTGTGCCTGTAATCCCAGCTACTCAGGAGGCTGAGGCAGGAGAATTGCCTGAACCCAGGAGGCAGAGGTTGCGGTAAGCTGAGATCGCGCCATTGCACTCCAGCCTGGGTAACAAGAGTGAAACTCCGTCTCAAAAAAAAAAAAAAAAAAATATATATATATATATATATTTATATATATATATATATTTATATATATATATATAAACCCTTTTATACAGTATTTTGGAAAAGCTGAATCATTTGCTTTAAAAGTTGATGTAGAATTAGTATGCAAAAAAAAAACTATAACATCAACAGGTGACCAACAACTTTAAATGTTTTTCATCTTTATAAATAAATAATTATAAAAATTATGTATACTATTAGATTCATTAAGAAGAGACAAGTATACACTAATAAAAAAATCAAATTTGATGACACTTTTTAGAAAAGAATCCAACCAAGGTTAGACTTTAAATAAAGTCAAATTACTGATAAATAAAATGCCAGGCATATATTCCACAATCTGAAAAACAAATTAAGTATCCATTCATGTTTTCTTTTATATAATTTATCCTTTCACTGGAAGTACCTTGGCATGTAAGAATAAGTTTTCTAAAAATGAATAAAAAATAAGGAGTCATAAAGTTATCCAACTCAGACTTCAATATTTATTACAAACAAACTTACTAAAGATATTTATTTAAATATTTTTTTGTTATTGGTGAAACAAAATACAAAATGTTGCCCTGGCATTTTGTGATGAGAAAAAAAGGGCAAAGCTAGAGGACAGGTCAGATTCCATAACCTGGGCCTCCTAAAGGGGCATTATTCTCTCACAATGATTCTCAGGAGTTTTAAAATAAATCAACACACTCATCTTTGATCAAAGTAAGGACTGATGGAGTGTATACAGTGATGGCAACTAAGAGGAAAACCAAAGCTAATTCATTCAGGTTATTCAGTAGAAACTGGGTTAAAGTACAATCTGTACAACCAGCAGAAAAAAAGATAAACTTATCTGAATAAAATTGAAATCATCAGCATAATTATACCATTCAATTGACTCAAGTCTTTGTTTTAATTCGAGCGTTTTGCTTATTTTGTTAGATGCTAATCCTATAAGAAGACCTTCCTGGGAATCTCACTGATTTCAAGTTCAAGGTGTTTATAGTTCAAGGTCTTTCAGTATAGGAATAAGTTAAGTGACAAAAATCATTTTAAAATGATGTAGTAATGATGGAAAAAAAGTTACTAAATTTTATATCACCCAACAGAACTGAAAATTAAAACCTATGGCTATATTCTAAATTTCATGATTAGTATATTAAAGCCACATTTAAAAATATATATATTGATAAGTAGGAACATAAGGAAGTCTGCAAAATAAAAAATTGTACTTCATGACTCAAGTATATAAATTTTGATTTTCAAAATATAGGTCTGAAAAAGAGATATAAATGATCACAAGTTGCCATTTTAAAAAAAGGCAACTGATCAAGGACTGAAGTTTTAGTATTTAAAACTTACCATATGGCTTCTACCAAATAGAAACTACTTTTATAGAATTTATGCTATTGATAATGGCTATTTAGTATATTAATTTAAATGAAATTATTTCACATTGTCTTTTTTAAAATGATATGCATACTGTAAATATGAAACTAGTCACTTGTTTGTCCTATTCCATTGATATTCCTTCAAAACAAAACTGTTTTAACTATTATTTTATGAATTAATTTTATCACTAGCTCATGTCTGAAAGATACTCACCTCTATGAGGCTGGAGTGTATTCCAATCAGGTATGGCATTGGGGCACTAAATTAAAAATATATATATGCATAGATTCATATAGTTCATTAAAACTGAAACAACAGTATAAGTAATTCAAAATGATTAAAAATTAAATGTATTAAATGCTCAGTTCCAGCATAACACATTATAGATATTCAAAATTATTCAATATAAAAAGCTCAAATTTAATCTTAGAGTCCATTAATATATTTAAAATTAAGGTTGCTTTTTATAAAAATCATAAAATCATTTATAATTTAATCAAGAGTTGTAATGCCTAAAAGGTTTGTTCGTTTTTTTTTTAAACTTAAAAAGAATATCAAGGTCTAGGCCATAGTCTGAATTGAATCTTTTCCATATACCTCATAGCAAATATATCCTAAATAATCATCAAATTTATTTACACTCCTTTAGCACATCTTTTTCTCTATTCAATTAAATTCTTCTTTCTATGATATTGTTAACATATATCTTCATTGATTCATACCTCCTATGTCACCAAATATTTGGGTCAGTCTGCAAATATTTATTAAGACTTGCTGTTTGTCAGGCGCTGTTCCAGAACTGGATGTACAAAAGTAAACAATTTCCTCACCTACTGTGCTATCTTTCCCCTCATGTACATTGTCTTTTACTTACTGAATTTTATAAATTCAGATTTATCCAACTTTCACTTTCATTAATAATTTTAATAAAATTAAAAATACTCAAGAGAATAATCTTGAATTAATTAATTCAACACATGATATTTGGAGCCAAGCAGGTGCCAGGCCTTAGGGTAGAAACTTGGGAACAATAATAGACTATATAAACAGAATATATTCCCTATGGATTTTATACTCTTGCAAAAAATACTAATATTTTTAATTGTGTATAAAAATCAAATTTTAATACATAAAATAAGAATTGCTGTTATTTCAGAAACACCTCATGAAATACGAGAAGAAAATTAATTCAACTTGACATTTCAAACCTAAAATATTATCTAACAGAAAAACATGAGAATTGACAGATATCTATGAAGGCAATAGCAGATATGTGAATAAATATTTTAAAATAAAACATTTTTGGCAATTCTTTTATAGACATCTTTGTGCTCTATTATCACACACCTTTTCTGTTAATGCAGACAGATAATCCTGTTTCTCAAAGGATTTGCATAATTTTCTAGACATCATTGTCATTATTAGAACAGAGTTGCCCAAATTTCTATGTTCACTTTGCTACTGAGAACCAGCAATAGATTACATAGGCACCCTGACAGACCCAGAGATTTCAAAGTAACCTTAAAAAGTTCCAGATTTCTTTAAAGATAGCTAACCACTAATCTATATATTCAGAATTTACAAACTTAAGTGTTAAAGTTCTTATTTTACTCCTCGTTAGCCTGTACATTCTAGTTCATTACTTATTATTGTACTAGATCCTAATTCCCAGTTGTCTTTGCCCTTTGTAGCTTTGTCCCTTCCTATTTTTTTATTTTTTAATTTGAATGCAGAGACCATATGGAATTGATCTGATATTCTGGATATTTCACTTGGCTGAAAGTTGAGAACTATTTATAGGCCTTGATATCCTTAAGACCTAACAGATTTTCTACCTTCAAAAGGAAACAGAAGGAACGAATGTGTACTGTTCCACTACTTCCCTAGTTCAGGTTCTTACCCCTGGAATTCCTTCTGGGACTCCAGAAAAGAAGACATAAAATGCATATCACTAACAAATCACCACAACCAGGTTTTGATAACTTTAACAAAATCAAGTTAGGCAACTTCCATGATCTTAACTATGTCAAGCCCTGCCCATATCCAAAATAGCATAAAATTATTGAAGTCACCATATAAACTTCCAATTCACCTCACGTTAGGTTATCCTACTCACAAGATTTAGACTACAGAAAAGCCCATACTCTCTGAAATTTCAAAGCACATTTTAGTAAAAGAGTTTTAAAATAGTTAAGCCTTCTAAAAACAATAATTACTAAGTCCATTTTACAAATGTTGGTGGGATAAATGGGTAGGTCAGAGTTTCATAAAATCAGAAGCAGTCTGCTAAATAATCTACCAAAATACTAGCAAATACATCTAGGAAAACATTTTTAAACTTTATGAAAGATATTACTTCTCTATAGAAGTATAAAAAACACATTTATAAAAACTGTTAAGCTGGCATAAAAATATCAATTAAAAAGTTTGTATGAGAAATTTAATCATATTGTAACTTGAAACTTTTAAAATGGGATCACTGGTTATCTCCACATGTTCTCTTCTTACCAATTTCTCACAAAATCTGAAACATACAGATGTTAGAATTGCAAACATTATTAATCTAGGGACTAATTTCCTAAAATAAACTTTGCAGAATATAGAGTGAATAGTTGTTTCTTTCTCACAAAAACTGGATTGTGTACATCCTACTATGAAATCAACAAAATCTCATGAAAAGTAACTTTGCAAACCTAGTTTAAATTTCCTAATTAGATCACTTCTCAGTCTTTTGGCTAAGATCAAGTGTAAATTTCCTGATTAGATTAGAACATCAACAATTCAAGAATTCAAGAAGAAATACTTAGCAACATAGATGTTTTGTCGTCTATGTGCAAAACTGTCCTATATCCTTTCTGTCAATGAAGTTATTTTGCAAAGATGGAATACAGATGCCTCCATTATGATTGCTGCTTCTTTTTAGCAGCAATTCATCTGAACTTAAGAATAGCTTTTTTTTTCCTTTTCAGGTTTTCTTACAAAGAGACCATTTATGACATAGACTATAACAGTGGCCTATTGGGGGTAGTCTAAAGAATATAATTTACCATTTGTTTTTTTAAAAACCTATCTCTTAGAAGCTAAATCTGCTCCTTTCATAAAAAAGTCATACAGCCTAAATAGTGACTCAACCCTTCCCTGAACAAATAGTAGATAATTATAATTTCACTAGTCCTAGAGTCACACTACCTGCTATGTGTTTATGGCCTCAGATAGGTTAATAGTGCCCTGCAACATCAGAGACTTGCCACATCAAAGTCCTCTTACACTGGCTGATTGGGGGAAAATGTAGATGGTGTCATTTCCTCTCTGGGGCCTTCCCTATCCTACAAGGGAGTGTAGGCTACTATGTGTTGCCAACCATGGTCTTTTGTATGCCTATGCTGTAATACTCACAGTATTGCAGTATTACACTGTGCTGTGTGTGTGTGCATGTGTGCACATGTAAGTATCTGTGTATTTCTTGCTCTCTGTGAATCCTGCAAGGGCAGAAACTAAGTCTTATTCATTACACCGCATACTCACAGCTTGTCAAATATTAATAGATGGTCATTAAATGTTTAAAGAACAAATGAATGGATGAATGAATCAACAAAGTAGCAACGTTTTATTGGTGGACCAAGATGCCATATTCATCCATGGTCACAAGATGGCATTATGGCTCTCCACAGTCCAATCCACAGCAGAGCTACCAGTTGCAAAAACAGAAATACTTCATGGAGGTAGGATTACCTCAGGATTCAGAAAGTTCCAATCATGCCAAAGATCTAGCAAGTATCTTTTCTTATCAAATCTTCATGATACTATTTTTGAACTGGAATATAAAAATTATTTAATCAAATACTATGAGATTGAAGGGATGATCTTGTAATTTTTTCACTTTTACACGTAGATCAGTATGATTTTAACCTCAAGGATAGAAATGGAAGAAAACCATTTACCCTAGGAAACAGCTTAGTTTACCAAGTTTTCCAACAATAGAAGAGAGCCAGAGTTTTAGATGGCTATTCTTTAAAAATAATTATACTACTCAGTTCCTATGATGGAAGCTGAGCCTACCTTTGTGACCCTAAGATTTAGGAAGTTTCAGATAACTTCTTGTTTGAATAACACTGATTTACTCTTTGAACGAGGGAGGTTTTTGGCATGGAAGCTGTTAGAACTCAACCCAAAGGCTATTTCAGACATTAGAAACTAGAAAGAAAATTCCAGGGACTGAAATAAGAAACAAGCTTCCTTCATTGAATTTCATGGGAGGGGTAGAAACTATCAGAAAAGCTCTCGAAAAAATTAGTACAGAACTGCCTGTGTCACAGAATAGTTCCTAAATAACATTTTTTAAAGTCTTAAATGTATAATTCATTATAGATCCTTGAGCTTAATTAAAGGCTTTTTACCTCTTAAGAAGTTAACAGAAAAATTAAGATGGTATTAATATCTATAAAATGTAATTCTAAAGATACATTATGTAAAATCATACATATTTCCAAATATTGCTGTAAAATATATTTTTAAATAAAGTTTAATTATTGAACAGTATATACAAAGATCTACTGCATATGTCAACACAAATAAATGGGATACCCTCCCTTTAAGGAATGTTAAAATCTTATAGGTATGTTGGTCAAAGAAAAACTCTAAAATGAATGACAGAGGGCCTCTTTACAGATTTAGCTTTATTCTTAGACTTGTGTGTGTGACACTTAACAATATAAAGTATATTCCTATAGTTTCCTGACAAACTGTTTCTCCTTTCTAGTTCTCAAACAGCATAACAGCAGTGGTAGGTCACTGGGCACCTGCTTCACAGCATTATCTATACTAATAATACTACCATGCTGTGGAAACACACCAATATACTAATACAATCAATATGTGGCCAAGTACATGTGTTCTCACTACAATCACTTGTTCTGAAGAGGGTTAGTCATAAAAAGTTAAAAGAAACCCTCTATGTATAAACTGAAATCATTTTTAATCCTTAATATTTTCTGCCTTTTATGAAATAAGAAAGTTAAATGAACGCACTGCTTCTAAAAGGGCTGTGTTTTAGTAACATTAGCTATTATATAAGCAAACACATGATGGTCAAAATTGTTTCCTTCTATGTGTGTGCACAATTATTTAGAGGAAAAGTTCCACCACATTTCTTAAGAATTAGGCTATTCGTGCAGAAGATGATTATGCAATGAAGATAACATATTTTCCCCCTAGTCTTGAGGAAGGCCCAGAAGCTGCCATTTAGGAGTCTAATCCTTGTTTAGCCTCTAAGTATGCAGACTCTTCCAGGCGAAGAGAACAAGGAGGTTCTAGAGGCCTGGTTATTGGGTGGGTCTTGGGAATTGTGTCTAATGCTAGGAAGCTTTTCAGAATTGCTCCAAATAGTTTTCAACACTGCTTTTCGTGGTAGCTCAAGGGTGAGACTTTGACTTAAATCAAAAGAAGAATTCTTCTATTAGAGACAACCCCTTTGTCAGTTCTTGGTATTTGGTGTGCCATTATGAGAAAAAGAGGGGTAAAGAAGTGTGTTATGAACTAAAGGTAATAAGAATATTCCCTGACAGAGGCAATATGGTTTCTGGCAGACTTGCCAGACAAATTCTGACACCAGGATATTGGGTTCTCTAACTGGTAGCATAACTTCTGTAGAGTTTTCCTAAACACAGCTTAAAACTGTTCTTTTTTTCTATTTTGTATTGAATTATCTAAATGACTGCAGAAGAAATTCACAAAACCTAAAGAACTTTATGTTTGCTAAGTATAAATCTGTGGTACCTTTCTACAGAATTATTTCATCCTTCATAAAAGCCCTCTTTAATATTTACTAATATATAAGTTTCCATGATTTCTTTAAATATACCCCCAAATTTACCTAATTAACAAAGAAACAGATTTCTAATCATGAAACCTAAGTTTAAAGGAGTCTGGCAAAAGCCAGCTTACCAGCAGTAGTCCAGCAGGTGTGGAGGAAGCACTGGGATGTATATGTGTTGCCAATACATTGGGTATAGGAGAGCAGCTGATCCATGGATACAGGCAGTTAACTAAAATTTGTAAAAGGATAATAAAAATAAGTAGCTGCTGACCCTCCAAACAAAAAGGAATGCTCAATGTATTAGTGATGAATGGTAATCACAGAACAATTTACATAATGACATAAATCACATTGTCTTTACCAATTCTACATGTTAAAAGTCTTATGTCTCAGAGGCTCCTCTGAAACATATATGAACAGCAAAAGTAGCTTCTTAGAAATCATGTAGATAGTTATAATCATCTGAAAATACAGAGCTTGGAATTGAAAACTTAGCACATAAGTAAAACTGAAAAATTAGGTGAATATCTTAGAAAGATTGTAGGAAATTACAATTTGTACAGCATAGTTTGTGCATCACTCAGATTAATATAACATGATTAAATATGGAAAGGAAGAGAGGCTGAAAGCTCCTAAGGGATATCATTAGGGCAAATTGCCAAAGAATGAAACATGAGCCAGTCAGGAGAGTCTGGAAGCTGCAATAATATCAGGGGACTTGAATGTTCGACAGTTGGAGCTTCAGTAATGTGTGAACTGCGGGTTATGGTATCAAGAGACTCTGTTCACTGACACATAGAATGTCACTATTGACCAGCGAACTGCCCAAGCTTGACAGCTGTACTACAGGAAGCCAAGTATATCATAATTTCATATTTAAACTGTTCATTCCAGATTAACATTTTGTTTCCTAGCTTTATATCACAACAGCTGTAATTACATTGTTGCTATTTTAAAGGTAATTGCCATTTTAATTGTTTTGTTTGGTAAGCAGTTAATTAAACATTTTTTAGTGCTTAAGAAAAAGATATCACTTTTTCTCCCTTCTCCTGACCCTCATCAGAATTCTTTTAATGTGACTTTCTTTCCATTTTTGATTATATTTCTGTAGATGTAATGCCATTTTTATGCATAAAGCAACAATTAAATCATTATTCTTAGTCATTTTAAAGTTTTGCTATAGTCTGTATTTCAAGATTACCAATTAAATAATTTTATTCAACATGAAGATCAGAATTTTTTTAAAAATCTGAAAATGAACCAGACTTTCTATAACCATTATCTCTATTATTATACAAAGAAACTAAAATAAACTACATGATAATCACAATTAATTTGAAAAAATGAATGTATACAAAGCAATCCAAATCCTATTAATAGCCACATTTGTCTATGTTTAAGTGCAAAACAGTTATATTATATAAAAAGTCAGTTAAAATAATTCAATTTGAACAAAAACCAAAGATTTTTATTCAAAGTATATTCATCTTTGCCTTATGTATCATATTTCTCCAGTCAGGTTTTTAATCAGATTTATAAGGCAAACAATGTATTTTGACTTCACTTAGGATGTTATCATTAAAGGATTTTACTGACTTACAAGCTTTAATAGGTTATCATCATATTCCTTCAATAAATATTCCTTTTTAAATTCTTTAATTAGAGCCTACAAAATGCCACTAGGAGGCATTCAAATACTTCTATTTAACAATTATAGATCATGGATTTACTTAATGTTACAAACAGCAGCTAGGGGGAAATGAAAATGGGGTTGATCTAACTCATTGTGTCAAATTCTCCAAGAGCTCTCAGGTACTCCTTAGTTGTAAATTAGGCCTCTTTAAAGCTGTATTAACTCTTTGCACCACCTCCTCTTTTTTTTTAATCTGATGGGGTAAAAGAGCTTATGTGGCTTTGAAAAGCAGCTAATTACTCAATTTCTCAATCTGCACACAGATGACTTTTTAAACAGCTCATTTAAAGCTTTAAAAACAACAAAAAAAGACAAAGTGTTTTATTTTGTTGTTACTGAGCAAGTAAAAACTGTAGCAAGAGAAAACAATATGTTCTTAAAGTGAGGTGTTATGTTTAATAACTCAATTTATTTCACTAGGCATTTTTTTTTACTGAGCAATTTATTTCACTGGGCATACCCAAAGTCCAAAGCACTGTACTAAATGCTATGTAAATACTTCCCCTACCTCCTTGCTGGGGATCCTTAAATGAAGTTTTATGAGTTATTCACTAACAAAATTCAACATTATCTGATGAATTTGACTAATTTCCTAGAGAATGGTTTCTGTAATTACATGCACAGTCACAACATTTCTGCAATGGCCAGCATCTGGCAGAGGGCTGTGCCTGCTAATAAAGATCTACCAGGAGAGAAAGAAGCTCTATAGGACTTGGCAACTTTCTGGATGTGGGAGATAGGTGACAAGGAGAGGAAAAAATATAAAAAACTCCTCCCCACCTACCGTTCTGGAACTAAGCAACCAGAATGAATTATTAAAGGTAATACAGCAAACGTGTCACGTTTAAGTGGAATTATAAGGAATCTGCTTTGGCAAGTATTTATTCTGTTAACCATGAGACACCCAAATGGATATTTCCAAAGAAGACAGAAGCATCCCAAAGATGACCCCCTATATGCACCTAGTAGCATGCAAGAGTTGTGTAACTTTAAAAAAAATGAGAAAATACTATTATGGCATATTCTTTTAGAAAAGATAGCAAAGTTGCAAGTAAATGGAATAAAAGAAATTTACTAGAAAATTTAACACATTCATATGTTAATTGGATAAAATCATAACAAGTATGTTATAGACTAAAAATCTGGGCTGTGCCACCAACAAGCCATGTGACCTCTGGCATACCTGCTAATATAACCAGGTCTCAGTTTTCCAATCTTTAAAATAAGAACTCTGTGCCAGATAATCTGCAAGCATTTTTCTCTCATAAATCAAATATTCTTTATTCTTAAATCAGATCAACTCTATCTTTTTTATATTCTCATGTACTGAGATTTCTTCTATTCTGGTGGCTAAAGGGATATTATGACTGGACTATAATTCAGACCTACTTTCAAAATATATCTAAAGGTAATCTCTAAGTGCTTTAAAGCCCAAGATAATTATGCATCTGAAATATTATAATAATTTATTTTCTTAATTCAACAAAAATTTGGAGGGCTTGCTATATGGAATCAAAATTCCTATGAGGCAACAGGGACACAGCACTAAACAGAACAAAGTCCCTGTTTCTACGAAGCTTACATGTTAGCGGAAAAGCAAACAATAAATAAGTAAAATCAACATGTCAGTTAGAGATTAGATCTATAAAGAAACCCGAAGAGGGGAATGATGGGGGTGGGGGTCTATTTTAGATAAAAGGATTACAGAAGAACTCTAATGTGGTGACATATGAACTGAAACCTAACTGAAGGGCGAAAACAAACTCGTGGATTTGGGAAGAAGAGCGTTCCAGGTAAATCAAACAAGGCATTCAAAAGTCCCAAGTGGGAACATGCTGGGCATCTTCACAGAGCAGTGAGGAGGACAGTGAGATTAGATTGGAGGAAGTGGGAGAACAGCAGGAGATGAGCTCAGACAGAGAAAGAGTCAATGACGGAGAGCCTTCTAGGACATGACAAAGACTCTGAATGTTATTCTGAATGAGATTTTTACACACCACTGAAGACAGTGCTATCATAATATATTATTTAACTGGAACATTTTGAGAATATACAAATTAAAAAAAAATAAACTAGATATTTTAGAAGTTTGGTTTGCAATATAAAGTACAACAAAGAAATGAGAGCAATCTAATAAGCCACGTAAGAAGAATTTTATTAATTTAAAGTGATTTATGATATATGAAATCTTTAAGCTTAAAGAAAAATGAAATATCATATAGTCTTTCTCTGGGCTATTACCCAAGATCACATATCTGGTTAGAGACAGGTTGCTTCTTTAAAACCACAGTTCTCTTCACAAAAGTAGAGAAAGGGGTAAGGGAAAGAATTTCCATGTTTCAGTTCAAACATAACTCTGGAATTATACCCTGAAACTGAGTAATACACTGTTAAAAAAATTTCAGAGAAAAATGAATTTACCAAGTAAAAGTTTACGGGAAAAAAAATTCTTATCTTTATGCGGCATATGAATATTTAAAATGCACATATATTTTCAGCATACCCAATATATTAAACTAATGTAGTTCCAAAGAGCTGATTAATACAAAATAAACACTGATTTATTATGGACTCCAATTACAATATAAGCATATATGGGAATCATGAGAAAGGACAAGAACTAATGCCCTTTGAAACCAGACAGACGAAATTAACAGTAAGGTCAGCAATAGTTAACTTAGTCACAAAAAAATGGCACTTGAAACTTCTGGTCCCAAGTCACCAGGTCTAAATATAGACACTGCCACTGAAAATAAGGGCAACAATGAATGTTTATATAACGCTTACCATGTGCCAGGAACTGTTATGAGTACTTCAAGTACTCAATATCTAATCCTCACAGCAACCGCATGAAGTACTGTTATCATTATTTCTATTTAACAGATCAAGACACTAAGACAAAGTTCAACCCAATTGCCTATGATCATAAGCCTGTAAATAGCAAAGCCAGGATACAAATGGAGGCAGGCTGGATCCAAAGTATAGTAATCACTATTTCATACTGCCTTCAATTTAAAAGATTTTAAATTTCCATCATTATAGGCTTTGAATAACATCTACTGACTGAAAATACTGTGTTTTATACTAATTGTATAATAGAGAATGCATCTTTGGACCAAACAGTCAAACAAGAACCATTGACCTTTGTAAGAGAAGTCTATGATAGACAGAGATCTGATTTACAAAACTTTCCTCAGGCAACACAGACTGTCTCAGCAGGAAACTAATAGAACAGACACTTTCAGAAAATGTTAAAAGGATAAGATCATTGATAAAATTTCTCCAAGTTATCAGCTCAACTTGTATCTGTGAGTACACCTAAGTTTGAAACCGAACCAAGGTTGTCTTGCTTTGTGATACAAAATCTGATTTCCTCTTTCTTCTTAAACTATATTTACCAGAAGATATCATTCTATTAATAAAACTAGAATTGTTTTAAGCAAATAAATAGGCATGTATTTTGAGAGGGGAGAAAGAGACATTTATCAGATGCCCATGGACACAGCAGAAAAACAGTCCATCTAGTATAATCACTA